ACGAGACGCCGGCAAAATAATTACGAGTTAGAGCTGGTGTGGTTGAAATTATTATGCATTCTCAAGGAAAGTGTTCGTCCTTTCAATAAATGAACCGAGAATTGTGGTAGCATTTGAAAATCACGAGGTAAAGAATAATAAAACTTGAATCCGTGCACCAAACAGCCAATAGAAACAGGGCAACCACCTCTACGACTATACGCCCAGAACGGAAACAAGGGGACAAGCCGCACCGCCAAAAATAGAAAACATATTTCCTATCTATCCTTCAGATTCCAAAAACAAACCACAAATCTCGCTTATATAGATTTATTTCACTTTTAAGAAAATTTCATACAGGATGCAAGCAATTTCAGATGTACGTGAAAAACAGAACAAAAAAAAAAAAAACTGATAACTGCGGTGGTTGTTCGTTCATGCCAAGGCCCTAAAGTTCATGCAGAGGGCGCCACCCGCACCTTGCCCGCGCCCAGCAACGCGAGAGCCGATGGGCCAGGCCAGCATACGCATTAGGTGCTGAAATCGAAAGTGTACAAGGCATCTCACAATTGATTGATAACATGTATTCGTACATAAATCATAACGGAAATCAATAACAACTCAGTGCCTAAGATGGGGACTGTTGTTCACCTGGGAGGTATATTTAGAGAAACGCTCGTGGAACACAGCGGTACAATCACGCGCCTCCCCTAAGACTGAGTGCCGACGCCGGCTGACTGTTGTTAAAACACTCCGTATTCTTCACTGCCATCCGGAGTTACGGCGCAGTCGGGCCCGGCCGCTGGCCGTACCGGTCACGGCCGCCCGAACTGGCAGCTTTGACAATACACCTCGGGCCGGCGCAAGTCCCGCCGCCGGCGAGCCCTGCCGCCGACACGCCACCCGGGTCCGACCGGAACCGCAGCCGGCCGGCTCTGCCCTGCCTGATACAGCCAAGGTCACCTACATCCGCACCTCACCACGGCCGGGGCGTCTGCGTCCCGACCTCACCACGGCGCGGTCGGACCTTCCTCCGCTCACACCACATCAAAGTCGTCTCTGAGAGTGCCTCCCTCGCACCTGGTCTATCACTCAACGGCCGTCGACGGGACGCTCCGAGTCCCACGGGGGCTCTGTACGCGACACGCCGGCAGCGGACCCTCACCGCCCGCTCGTCCCGCGGCTGTCGGTCGGGGGGGGGGGGGGGGGAGCGGTGCGCCGTCATTAACTGCAGTCCATGTCGTCCTCCGCCTCCTCCGAGCCGTCCTCAGAGTCCGAGGAGCGCCCGTTGGAGACGACCGTGGCCGGCCGAGGCGCCAGCGGCAGGCGGCAGGCGGCGCTCTGCGGCTCGCGGCGCATGTAGAACAGCACGTAGGCCGCCTTCGTCTGGTGAGAGACAAAGACATAGGTCAGAGGAGTGAAGACACGGACATAGGCACAGGTCAGAGAAGACAGAGACACAGACCAGCCAGGAACATCCAGAGGTCACTACGAAGTGCAAAGGAGGGGATGGGGGGATTCATCCAATGGTCAGCGTGGACAGTTGGACATAAACACAGACAAAAGTTCAGCCGTTAGTGAGGTCGAACGGATAAATGCAAAGCGTAATCTAAGCGCTTCTGTTGGTAAATAACTTAAAATTTCTCGAAACCTGACTCCTGAGCGCGACAACGGAGGATCAATTCCTGTTAACTTTCTGTACTCCCACAGCAGCAGCACCTTATACGTATGAGCTCCCCTCCCCTTCATACGTACGCAGACAGCGTCCTCCGAAGCCTCTGTGACGGAGCTGTCGTCAAAGTAGTACCAGCGGTTGTCGTCACGGTTCTTACAGTAGGCCACGTCTGAAACACGACAGAACGTGCGCCAAATGCAACATGCTCCGAAAAGAATGCAAACGGCACGGGACAACGTGACAGATAACAACGTGATACGCAGCGACACGGCACGGTCGGGAAGGGTTGCTACGGCCGAGGCCGAGGAACTAACCCGGTGTCCATCGCCCATGATTGTAACGTGTGCTCACAGCCCCCCCCCCCGCTTTATTTACTCACAGTATCCTCGTCTGTGCATACTTCATAGTGTCCGCCCCTCATTATATCGCTACTCACAGTGTCCGCCGCCCATGCCGCCGTAGTGGTTGGACACGCCGATCAGGTCGTACGTCGAGCACGGCCGGTTGGGGTCCAGCAGGTGCGGCCCCATGTTCAGACCGCGCGTCGGAAACTCCACCAGCGCGTCGATCTTGTCGCGGAAGATGCGCGTGTACGAGAACCGCTTCAGGTGGATGATGAGCACGTCGGGCAGGCTCCACAGGTCGAACTTCTTGGTGGCCTCCTGGTGCTTCTTGCAGTCGGGACAGTACCTGCAAGCGGGTGGCGCAGACGTCAGGTAACGTGTAACTGTGTATCGCATGAGGGGGGGGGGGCTGCTGGTGTTGCAAATGTGCACTGTTCAGCGTCATGGGAACTTTTCTGAACACACGGAAGGAGTGGAAGGGAAAGCCTGAAAGGCCTGAAGGGACGACCTGAAAGCTAAGATGTCTCGACGGAGGCGATGCCTACAGGCACTGGCCGGAAAGACCTGGGGAAGCCACCGCCGAACCATCAGAGCGGCCTACATCGGCTATATCCGGGCCCTATTCGACTACGGCGCCGCCGTCTTCGGGACATACGCCGCCCCGTCGGTAAGAGGACGCCTCGAAGCCGAGCAAAACAAGTGCGCCCGCGTCATCACCGGCTGCCTACGTGCGACCCGGAAGGACGCCCTCCTGGCCGAGGCTGGTCTCCCGACACTCTCGCTTCGGGCCCTACAGCTGGCAGGCACGGAGTACCAGCGTGTAATCCGTCTGCCCCCGAGCGACCCGGGCAAGTCCCTCTTCCGAAAGGAGGTACAGCCGCGCCTCCAACACCGAGCCTACAAGGCATGGCAAAGAACATGCAACGACGCCACCGCCGCGGGAAGACCACCGCCCAAGCCACCAGACGAGACTGCAGCACTCCCTCACCGACCGTGCCTCAGGAGGGTCGGCAAGTGGCTCGCCGAGGAGGCAGGAATCGAGGAGCTCCCGGTGGAGCCCATGGCGTTCTACAGCTGCGACCCGCCATGGCTGGGCCACCGCGGCGGCACCACCTTCAGGGTAGACCTGCCCGTGGCCACCCGCCGGTCGGACCCGCCTGCAGTCCGCAGGGAAGCTGCCCTGCGAGCCATTGCAGAGCTCCCGCAACCGGATGTTACTATCTGGTCGGACGGCTCGGCTCGCGGCGGGATGGAACAGGGCGGCGCAGGCGCGCTGATCCAGTTTCACCACCTCAACAAAGAAGAAACCGTGCGCGCTCCTGCAGGGGCGGTCTGCTCCAGCTTGAGAGCAGAGCTGACCGCCATGCGCGAGGCGCTCGCGGCTGTGGCCGGCCTGGAGGAAGGGGAGCTGGCATCAATCAAGTCGGTCCGCCTCCTCACCGACTCAAGGTCTGGGCTACAACTACTCGGCCGCGGCCCAGCTAGCCAGACCATGGCTCTGGCCGCCGAGGTCTGGAGGCTGCTGAACACCCTCGCCGAGAACGGCACCGAGACGGTGCTCCAGTGGGTGCCAGGCCATGCCGGGCTGGACGGCAACGAGACCGCCGACCGCCTGGCTGGCGAGGCCGCGGCGGGCGACCAAGATAGCGCACCAGACTTGTAAACGATTAAAAAAAATCAATCAATTCAATCACGACTCACTTGATGAAATGACCGATTCAGTCATAACTCAATCAAACAGTCTGATTTTCCAAACGATTCAATCATGACTCATGGACCTTGTGATTCAACTCAATCACGACTCATCCCATTATCAGTGATTCAGGGAATGACTCAACTCATGATTTAACTCTACGCGATTCAATCAAGATGTTATATAACATATATACATATGTGATATCAATTTAAGACATTTTTGGAAACTGATACCAAACAGATACCAACCAAATACACTAGAATACCAAAAAACATAGAAAAGTACTAAATCTATACTGAACTCAACAAAGTTGTAGATATTTATATAAATGCGGTGTAAAGATGATAATTTAAGTACAGAAAACACAAGTTCTGTTACATATGAAGCTACCAGAGGACTTATAAAAATTCATTTATCTGCTTGGCGCTTGCAAAAGGAAACATGCAAAATTGCACAAAACACTACCACATATTATCAGCATCATCGAAAAGGACCAAAACTTGCAAATCAATTGTGACACCCAAACTAAAATAGCTGATGATCAGCCATTCAAAAAAATATTGATTGATACTTTATGAAGCAGTGGTAAAGCCGGTAAAGCATTACACAGGACTAGACATTTTCGGCGTGCTACAAGTTTTCTTTACTTCAAGAATACGGAATATCGACACATACGAAGCTATTCAATAGTTACATAATATAAATTGAATGCTCTCATGATAAAACTACCTCAACCATCCATATCTTCAATGACCATAACAATTCCAAGCCCGCCCCACGACACCAAACTTTTCATACGCGGCGGAGCTGAGTTGCAAGTTGTAAAGGCCTAGCTACCTACACTACGCGTTTTCTGCGTGCGTTTTTTGCTTTTGCGAGTTTGCGTGCTTTGCATAATATGGTTCTAGAAAGAAACGATATTATGTTTTGTTTTTGTTATATTTTTTTTATAAAAAATTAAATTATTAAATTATTTTAAAAGGTTTTATTAACCTTTATATAATATACGCAAAGCACGCAAGCTCGCAAAAAACGCACGCAGAACACGCGTAGTGTAGCCAGGCCTTTAGTATTGAAGTACGCATGCGCTAAGTGGGCAGCCATATTTAATTTAGCAGCAGAACCATGGATTACTAACTATGTAAAATACATAGTTAATATTTTTTATTCAATTAAGCATATTTATGCATGCGTGTAAAACAGTTTTTTATTCTGTCCAATTCATTAAAGAAAAAAAATATTCCTACCTATGTATTTAGCCCAGCACTAGGTAGTTGCAGCGTAGGTATATTGACGCAGCTGCGACATAAAAGCGTATTTTGCGTGGTTTGCATGTGGCAAAAATTGCGAGCAGTCTGGCAAATATCTAATCCGAATTTAGCATCGAATGCAAAACTGTTGGCGGTCCTCAAAACTAGAAGGTGAAGAACACCAAACGGATAAATATTGTTAGTTGAGCTATGAAACCAAAAGTTTTTGGGCGATGGTGGAAGTGATGGGAAGGTGGTTGTTTTTTAATACCTAGCTAGTAGGGTATGTATCTACTTTTTGCCATTGCATCTTTACTTTTGTGTAATTGGGAGCCACCACGGCAATATATGACAGATCCATCAATGCTCATAAGCCAAGGTATTTCAATTATTTACGTTGATAGGTAAACGCTGATTCTGCTGGGAAATGTAAAGTGAGTGAGGAGACCATGGGTTAGATCAAGCAATTTATGACCCTTAGCCCAAAATCAAATCAGTAACTAAGGTTACCAAATTATAATGTGAACATGCATTGTGTATTCATCAATATGTTTTGCTTGCTAACAAATGTCCTGATGAAACAGGGTATTGAAAATATGAAGATTAACATGATATCTAAAACATGTGTGTTGAGCAATGTGCGCCTGCTTACTGCTACTGTTAACTTGATTACTATACTGATTTTAGGGCACTGGAAAGAAACTTTACATTCATTTTTCATCTTCATGCATTGACATTTATGTATAATTTTGTGTTTACAGTTTGATTAAAAACTTAAAACAAAATTGTTGTTTTTCAATTATGATAGCTGTGCGCATTTATAATGCTGACAAAATACCTAAAAAATTTGCAGTGCATTGTGTGTGACTATGATGCAAATGCCACATATATTTCTACATAATACCTATAGTACTAAATATGGTCATAACTTCAATTTCCAGCACATGGTGATTGCATCATTTTGTTAATTCAGTCAACTTGAATCGATGAGTTGCCGATTCAATCACTTGCAGTTGCCATGTGTGACCGATTCAATCAGGATTCATATGGTGACAAGAGGTGATTCAACCGACTCAATCACAGTGAGTCGGCACTTTCAAGCGATTCATGAGAATCGATTCAATCAGAGTTGAATCGCTTACAAGTCTGTAGCGCACCGATTGACCTATCGAGTGCGCGGGCCGCCGTCACGCGCCATGTCCGGGAGCTGTCGCGACGGAGGACAACCGCTGCCCACCCGCACCCGGACCCCACGCCTGGCCACGACTCCCTGGCGCGCTGGGGGTCGGTGACGCTGTCCCAGCTGAGGACCGGCACATCACCGCTGACCCGCGACACGCTCTACAAGATTGGCCTGGCAGCCAACGACGAATGCCCCGCGTGCGGGGAGCCCGACAGCGTGACGCACCTGCTGACCGTTTGTCCGGCCTATGAGGCGGCCCGCCGCCGCCGCTGGGGTGTCGACCCTCGCCTGGTCGACGTCCTCGGCGGCCCGGCGGCGAGGGTCGTCGACTTCATCGAGGGTGTCGGGCGGACCGAGCCGCCGCTCGACCCGCCTGCGCCGCCGCCCCCCTGAGCGGGCTGGCGGCGGGATGCAGAAGAAGAAGAAGAAGAAGTGGAAGGGAACCAGGTGTATACAACCGGTTGGCAAAATTGCAGCGTGAGGACGAACCTACAGAGACGCGCTAAGATTGCGTCCTTCGGAGACCTAGCCACCACGGACACATGGCGACTGGTGTAAATGCGACTCCATAATCATCGTCAACTAGCCTCATGCGGTAGACCTCCCGGTCTACCCCCTCACCTCTTTTGCGCCACCCATCACTAATACAGAATCCCCCTTTCAATTTACACTCCAAATCATGTTAACGCCCCAGTCTCTGGGTCTCCGTACCATGCGTCGTTGACGCCGAGTTTCTCGGTGCTGGTGAAGAGGTCGATGCAGTCGCTCAGCTGGATGGCCGGCCGGCGGGTGGACGGACGCGCGTTCACTGACTCGTGCTCGTCCCGCGCGTCCATCTCCAGGGTATCGACGGCCGCGGCGAACGCTGCCGGCTGCCACTGGACCAGGATGACGGCGCCGGGCGGCACGGCCACCTGGCGCTGCGGCTGCTCGGCCGACAGCCGCGCCAGGCAGGTGTTGGCGCTGCTGTTGACCAGCTGCAGCTGGTAGGGCGCTGGTGCGGCGGACGGCTTCTCGCCGCCCTCGGCTCCCTCCATCGGCTCGTCGGCAGGCTTCTCGGCCGGGTCGTCGTCGGGAGTGGCCGCCTCGGCGCCGCCCACCGCCGCCGTGCCGTTCGGCAGGGCTGTAACGCGGGAGGGCAGGGTGTGGGATGTTGGCAACACATCACAGTAGCCGACTAACATCGTGAAACACAGAGACACACCTAGACATGACAGTCAAGTGGAAACATAACCTACTCAGTACTCAACCCTCTTAACTAATAAATCCTAATAACACAGTCACGATCTTTTTGCTAGCATATCAAATCACAAACTCATTTCCTGAGAACCCACTTTATTAATGATCGGTCCCACGTCCACAGCCTCCATCTCGGTTCCCAACAGACAAACACTGGTCCCCAGTTGCCCCACCTCCACTATCGGTGGGCACATCGGCCGCCTCGGGTCCGGTCCACCAGTCGGAGGGCACCAGGGGCCGCACGTAGCGCGCCGTCGCCGCCGCCACCTTCTCTGACAGCTCGGCGTAGCTGGTGCGGTCGCGGCGCACGCAGACGAAGAACGGCGCACCGCCGACGCCCACGTCACCGCGCCGCACGTACACGGGCACCGGCTGCAGGCCGGACGACGGCGGCGGCGTCTCGAACCTACGACGATGCAAGTGGGGGTTAGAGCGAGACTGTAAGAGACTGCGGGAGAAATCATTAGATATGTCCGCAAAACAACTCATGGGAAAACTGGCGATATTGCACCCTTTAGCTTGGTACGTTTTTTTTTTTTAATTTTGCTTTAATAAATAAATGAATAGCCAGACTCACGCAAAGATGACGTCTTTATCGTTGATGTCTTTGAGGGAGTCGGCGCCGGTGAAGATCTTGTGGAACTTGTTGTGGTAGACGTCGACGACCACCAGGCAGTCGTGCGGCACCTTGGTGAGCCGCTCCAGGGCGCGGCACAGGTCCTGGATGGAGCCCTGCTTCGGCAGCGTGACCTTGTACAGCACCGGCCGGCGAGACGACTCGGCCCACACCACGCGAACCTGGCGAGCGGCACACGTTTCAGATGGTGTACTCAAAGACAAGACATGAATGAGATAATAGTATGTCACTATTTCACCCATGGTGCTAGTAACGTGAGATGAAAGGCGATACAACGTAGTAGAAATAAACATATTAGGCCATAGTGGGCACTGGGAAGTCATAGGCAATAGGCATTGCTGTGCCAGCGGCGTAGTTTTGCATGACATGACACCAGACAAGGCACCGTACAAAATATAAATTCCGCTGCGTACAACGCGCGATTCGCATCACTGCGCAGAAATTCGTACCACACCGCGAAAAATATGCAAATACTAATCGATCCCAGTCCCACACGAACGAAGCAAAAGCAGAGCAACACGGATGACGTTAGGGAGGAAAGCGCGGCGGAAAACGTTCGACGAGGACGAGATTCGAACTCGCGCGGGCAGAGCCCATTGGATTAGCAGTCCAACGCCTTAACCACTCGGCCACCTCGTCGCTGGGACACAGGCCACGAGATTGGCGATATAAACCAGACAGCTACCAAACATGACATTTGACACCACTGAGTTGAGTCTTGTTAGTACAAAGGTTAGTACGAGTGGTCATTAAAGAGACACGCAAAGCGACCCACCCCCTCTCTATCCTCCACCATCCCCAGTGACTGACCTCGATAGTTCTCTCTCGTTTGACGGGCAGCGGCAGCTGCAGCATGCAGTGCGGGTCGAATGTGACCGAGACCTTGGAGCACTCGGGGCACACCACGGTCGACTTGAGGAGGCCGTAGAACATGTCGACGATGACGGATGTGTTTCGGCGCCGGTAGTTGTCCCACGCCTCGGCGGCCACCTCCTACATGTAGAACAGGAAAAGGGGAGGTCACACGGAGCTCGTATGGGAAACAACAAAGGCATCACAGACGGTTGACGAATCAAAAGTGAGCAAAACACTTGTTCCAAACCTTGACTTACATCCGTAAAACATAATGGTTATTATAATGGTTATTCAGGATAAAACAAACGGGGCGAAATTCAGTCACTCAGGTCAATATCGGGTCAAGACCAGATATATACGATACCGTAGTCACGTTCGCCGCCAAAATACACGTCCATCATTTATCAGGTTACCTACGAAGCGGCCTTTTATTTATATTCTGCCGGGGCCTCCACGTCAGCAGCTGCCCCGCTATCACAACCCATCCGTCAACATTCCCCGGCGGGCCGTCACACGCCACCCGTGACCTTTCTGACGCGATAACCCGTTGCCGGGACTCGCGCGGCCGGCCCCGTGCGTCGTACGGCTTCCCACGTTCACCACTCCACAGAGGTGCTACGGGGACTACTCCGGCCGCTCAGACCACAACCGAGACATACAGCACCCGTGAATGCACCACGGAGACCACGGCCTCGTTTCATAAGGCAAGTCCGTAACTTTCGCCGGTTTTTGGGCTTGTATTGCAAGCGCATGTATGTGAAGCGATACATTTATTTCCCCTTCTTCTGTTCTAGCTTGCAAGATAAATAGATTCAACGATTCAAACTATCGTCGTCCCTTCACATGCACTTGCAATACAGGACCAAAAACCGGCATAAGTTACGGACTCGCTTTATGAAACGAGGCCCACGTCACAAATTCACTATATGCCACTGAACTGTTTTTGGACTCTGCCCCAGCTCCAGACCCGACCGACCCTACTCGTATCTATGAAATAATCATATCTATAAAAAAATATCGTAAATGAGAAATAAGAGAACTTTTGAACGGAAGCAAGATTTACAAATCGGTGAACTTCCACGAAACTCGACTACGACCACGATCCACGAAGTCATGCACTCATCAGCTTTTCTTTCGTCAAGTTTTCATTTCTTAGGGCTCCGGTGATATCCTCATACTTATCCTTCTTGCCAGGCTGCAGATGTGCGCAGCGCCAACTGGGCAGCAGCTGCACTCGCAGTCCTGCACAATCCTATCACATTGTCCCGTATCCTATCCGTATCCCTGCCATAGTATTTTGCGCATCACCTCATAATCACCTCAACTGAAAAGCCACGATGCTTGTGGATGTTGTTGTTACGGAGCGAGCGAAGCGAGCGGAGTCTTTCCTTAGATTAACGGAAATTTCTGAGTATGAGCGGCCGGCCGGCCGGCCGGCCGGCCGGCCGGCCGGCCGTGCGGACGCTTTTGCGAGGCTTATATCTCAGCAACCACTTGACCGATTTACATGGGGTAATTTTTGTAGGGTAGCTTCATTCCTTCTACCAAGTATTGGACTATTCCCGATGCATGTGGGTGACCCCTTATGCACGTGCCACGTGCAAAACGAAGAGGTGTCAGTTTTGCAATTGTTGCAATATCTCGGTAACTACTTGGCCGATTGCGCTCAAAGTTGGCATGTAGGTAGACACCCACTAGGCACTGCATATCCATGTGCCAGAGTTGGGGTGCTGCTGCACGTGCGCACGTGCAGGGGTCGTTTCCAGATCTCGAGAACGGCTGGACCGATGGCGCTCAAATTTGGTACACGGTTAGGGACCAGTTAGTAGGGTGCCATGCACAAGTCAGTTGGGACCCATTTTGCACGTGCGCACGTGCAGGGTGCCGCTCCCAGATCTCGAGAACGGCTGGGCCGATTGTGCTCAAATTTGGCACATCGCTAGAAACCGGTCAGTAGGGTGCCGTGCACAAGTCAGTTGGAGGTACCCCCTCGTATGTATAAGCAAGTATCCATTAGAAGCCGCCGCACCACACAGCTCACTTTCAGAAAAGCTCCAGCCTCTAAACCCCCTCTCATCCTGCATTTGGAGCTGCTCAAGTCTATCTGACATCCCATTAGTCTCTTTACAATCTCTTTCCGTGAGAACCTCCCAAGCCTTGGCCGATCCTCTATCACAGTCACGCTGTCCAAACCTCTCTTACTAACCATGAAACCCCTCACGTTACCCCTACTTTATCGTGACAGCAGCACTTACCGCGTCAGGTCGTCCGCCCGAGTCCCGGAGCTCGATGTAGGGCTTCTTGTGGATGCGGTTGAGGTCCTCGTGGAGGGCGTCCAGGATGAACGTCAGCATCTCCTGCGAGTCGTGCTGCTGGTAGCCGGAGAACTGCGGCGCGAACCGAGACACTTGATGCTGCCGGAGACGGGGAAGAAATTAGCACCTAGTTCCTAACTGAAGAAACCCGCGTCATCGCAAAGTGAGGCAGATCAGCTACCAGGGGCAGGGAGGGAAGGCAATAGAAAATAATGTGATAGCCTGGCGTACCGTCGCAAAATAACTGACAATATTAATTGCTATAAAAAAAATCAAGACATTGCAGGCAATAAACACTAAAAATCGATAACACAAATACCAAACGAGGTCACATACGTCCAGCGTTCGACCATACGCAGCCACAAAGCACAGATCCGGTGAATGAGTAGGTACAGTCTGTCTTAAAAGTACCGCGCAAAGTGGCGGTGGATCCATCAAGCCTGACCGAGAAAGGGCCTGTTTTAATTTAAAAGTCACCGACCAATTGACCTAGGGAATGGATAAGGATGTCAGTTGCTTCAGTGACCCAAATTTAGCAGGCCCTTGCTTAGTCAGGCTCGATGGATCCACCGTCACTTTGCGCGGTACTTTTAAGACAGACTGTACACCGCACCCATCCCTCCGTCGTGAGCCACCCCGCACTGTACTGCCATATCGACCCCTCCCTCCCCCGGCCCGTACCTTGAAAGTGCGCGGCACAGTGGACTGGTGTCGGCCGCTCCACATCTCCTGCACCAGGCTGCCGAAGGCGCGCGCGATCTCCCCGCGCATGCCCAGCGGGTTCTCCGTGTTCAGCTCGGCCAGGTGCCGGTTCTCCAGGAAGTAGAGCGCCAGCGGCGGAGTGTTGGACAGACACTGCAGTACCGAGCTCATGAAGCACGTGTTGCCCAGGTTGGAGAGGCCGCACAGGCCCGGCTGGTGGCTGGAAATGTAACCGTGTCCGCTGCGGGAAGAGGAAATATAGGTCAGGGTCAGGTCACAGACAGGACAGAAATCAGACAAACCACTGGTCAGGTCCCGCGACAGCTCCGCTCATGAACGGGGCACAGGTCATTGGTCAGATCGAAGACACAGCAGATTAGGTCAACGATAACGCAACTGCACAGCAGACAGCAGCGGGACTGAGGCCAGACCACAGGCAGTCGCGAAATGTTAGGTCAAAGAGAAGTTAAAGACGAGGTCACAGACAAAAGTAAATGTGGAGCTCATTATGAGGCATCATACCTCAGTACCCGAGAGGAACTTACACAGAGTACGACTTTTTGTCGACGATACTGCCGTTGGTGAGGCTGCCCAGCACTCCAGACGAGCTGCGAAAACGGTCACAGAAGGGTCAGTCCGAAGTATTTCGACAGGATGACAGCGTCATGCAAGAAACACATCAAAACGCGCAGTCACCAACAGTGTCTCTGATATCCGTCCGTCGGATTCCGTTCCCCGACACACCAATGACACCATACTATGGTTATCAGACTAATCCAGCCCGTTAACTCGTTCCCTGCTGTTCTCTCTCAGAGATCCATCCATCCCTCTGACCTGTCCCCCCACACTGCCCGCCGCCCCCCGTCACACTGACCTCGGTCGCGGCCGCGGCCAGCTGCCGTCCTCGTTCTGCACTTCCAGCACGATGATCTGTCCGACGTACAGCCCGGCGCTGCTGATGGTGGCCTCGCGGTCGGCCAGCTGTTCGTACGTG